ATTATTAACCGCTTGCAGGTCCTGAACCATGCGCCATCCCACTGAGGGAGGCTGTTTCTTTACAGGAAAATTTGGGGTGTTAATTGGAGAGTCGTCACATTTAACAATTACTCCTGCTGTGATAAGATCCTGTATCACAGGTTTAATGCCATCTTTTGCATCCTGTTTCAAGGGGTATTGTCGCACACACGGTCTGTATTCAGTTTTAGGCCTAATTACAACAGGCAATGCACCTCTAACCAGCCCAACGTCTGTGGGGCCTGTGGACCACAGAGAGTGAGGAAGGTCTTTTAACAGTGCCTCCTCCTCATCTGTGGCTAAAAGAACGTGTCATTCCTGCTCACAATGCATGTGGGTGCCAGCATAGAGCTGCACAGTCCAAAACAAAGCTTTTCTGCTCAGACCCGTGTTTTCACTGTACTCCACACCTGGTGTGGAGGGCCTCCAATCTGTAGCTGATTGTCCCAACTGGACGACATAGCCCATGTCTTTCCAGTCCTCATCAGGAGGTTTGTACAAAGATATGTGTGCAGGTGCACGCATCTGAAACAGATGGAGTATCTGCTCAGGTAAAGAGATGGCTGCCACCGCTGTACTGTCTGTATCACTGTACAGGTATGTGACTGTTGCTCTTGTTGGACTTAGTTTTTGTAACATTTTTTCATAAGCAAGGTTGGGACCACAGGTGTGTTTGTAAAGCATGGTTACGTGAAGGGCATCATTCTGCATTTTGTCCTTAGGTTTAGTAACCATTTTTCTCCCTTGTTTTAACAATTCTGTACCTGTGAAATGAGGTGCTTTGTCTGATAGGTCCAGAGAGTAGAAGTACTTAGGTGTGTCTCGTCCTTGTAACACATACAAGTCACCCCTCTCAAGCTGATCCCGTCTTTTGACTGTAAGTCTACCATCAGGAGTAGAAACCAGAGACAATTGCAACTGCAAAAGCCCATCCCTCCCCAGCAGGTTCACCGGACACTCGGGGAACGTCAGCACTGACAACTGGCATGACTGTCCACCAGGATCCCGGAACCATACTGGATGAGTTTGAGGAACTCTTGTCAATACACCATTAGCAGATCTCACAGACACGCTTTCTGCCTCCTCTCTGCTGTTTGGGATAGATTCACGACAAGTAGTGCGGCATGCACCGGTGTCGCACAAAAAGGTCATTTGTTTACCATTCACAATCAAAGTCACTTCAGGCTTATCACTGTTAATCCTAAACAGGTCCTGATAATTCAACAGGGCTTCCTCATCATTACAATCTGACTCTTTTATGTCATGAGGAAGTGCTGCTGCCTGCACGTCTAGTCATGCAGAATGCTGTGAGGCCTTCTGCCCTCTGTCTGGACAGTCTCGTGCAAAGTGGCCATCTTTGCCACAAGACCAACAAGCTGTCAGGTGCTGCCTGAATGGGCTAGGCCCCTGGCTACGACCTCTAAACTTTCCTCTGTAACCACCTTGAAAACCACCCTTACCTCTATCACGACCACGGCCTCTGTCCTGCTGATAAAACACACCATCATGCTCACTGCCATGAAAAAATGTGTCCTTAGTCACCTCCTTCCTCTTTTTCACTGCCACTGCTTTCTCAGCATGAAGGGCCTGCTCAATGTATTGATCCAAAGAACCTGTTCCCATGTGAACATAAAATTTAGTAATCCAAGCTTTAATTGCATCACGTGAACCAGCATGCAACGCATTCTTAAGCTGCTGTCTGAAAGGTCCAGTCTCGTCAGTAGATTCACTCAGTCCACTGTTAGTCAGGAACACTTTAGTCATCCTGACTCTGTACTGTTCAAAAGGTTCGTCGTCACCCTGTTTAACCTTGTGTATTTCTGTGTAGTTGGCTTTGCGCATGAAACGTTTAGTCGTTCTGTCAATGAGTTCTTCCACTCTACGTTTTAAGTCCTGGGAGTTATGGGCCAAGGGAACACCTGTGTTGTCATTGGGTGACCAGTCGGCCACCACATGGTGCCAGTCCAATGCTAAAGCTGTCATCCAAACTTGCTGAACCTCTACACCATTTAAATGATAAGACAGTCTCAAGCCCTCCATGTCTTGCACAAATCTACCAACATCCTCTTTCCTAGAAAACAACACAGCCTTGGCATGTCTGGCTGATGTGCCTTTTTCCCTCTTCAAGGC